GAACGTGCTGACCAGAGAAGCTGGGGCTGCCCCATCCCTGGAGGGGTTCAAGGCCAGGTTGGATGGGACTTTGAGCAACCTGGTCTAGTGGGAGGCGGTCCCTTCCAACCTAAACCATTCAATGATTCTATGTATTTCAGTGCCCTTCAGATCTACCTCCCACATCTCCTTCCCTCCCAGCCAGCGGTTTGCAGCTGTGACCCATTCGCGTCTTGCTACTCGTCCTAAGCCCCAGCCATAGACCTCCCCTGGCTGGGGATCTCCTGTCAACATGTGGCCACAAGGTCAGCTTCTGTTGCTCCACGGACATCCACCACACCTGAGACTTCAAGGTTTCTCATCCTCCTGCTGGCACTTGAGCCTTCTCATCTTCCTGCTGGCTGCCCCAGCAGACCTGGTCATCCCGCCTTGCCTGTCCCAAAGCTTACATCAAAGGCCCAGGGCTTCTCCTGGCTCCGCATAAAGTGTGCTCAGAATAGGAGAAAACAGGACTTTGGCCCAGTTTTTTTTGGAATAAAATATGTGCACCGTTTGGAGAAGGTTTTTGCAATAAAGCTGGGATGAGTTCATGCTCTTCAGGGATCCAATATGAAGGATCAGCACCTGCTAGAGCCCAGCTTGGGCCATGGGTTGTTCTGCAGAGACTGCAGTGTCTCAAAGGAGGGATTTCAGACTTCCCAGGGGGACACAACACTCGAGTTCAGAAGGGACAGAGGACACAACTCGTTTCCAGAGCGGCTGTTTGTCCAAACTGAAGACAGCCCCAGCAGAAGCTCCCTGGCCCAGAGCTGCATCAGCCACGTCAGGCTGTGACAGTTCACGGCATTTCTGTGTCGGGAATCTCTTTGCTGCTGGTTTGTTTGTTTGCAAAGGAGGGGAACAAAGTCCTTGGGCTCACTGAGCCCCAGTACAAATGAATACAGCCACCTTTCCCGACTGCTCTGCTTTTGATGAGATTAGTTTTGACTCATTTCCAGCCCAACTTTCCCCCACTCATTCTTGTGCCTTTGTGTAGCACACCTCTTTTTTTCCTATTTGGTCTCCAGCCCTAGCTCTGCATGCCTCTGGGGTTTGGTTTTTTCCTATTTGATCTTCCTGCAGGCAGCAATCTACTCCCCACTCCACTGCCCCTCTCAGGTTTTGCCAGGCTGAAGAGGTTAAACTCAGCCTGGACCTCCCTGGCCATGCTGCCCTCTTCCCAGTACGTGCTCCAGTTTTGCTTCTTATTTTTACACAGACATGGGCAAAACCATCCACCCTGTTTCTGGCAGGGGCCACGTCCTTGCCCAATGCAAGCCCCATCTTCAAGGCACCACTAGCACAAGACCCACCTCCATCTGAACCCTCCCATTCGCAGCAACGGGTGATGTTCATTTGATGACCCTTTTGCAAAACACTTTCTTTCCAGCAGCACAATGCTCTGCCTTTGGGCCCCTTCCTTGCACAACATCAGCCACCACACACTGAAGGGATGGGAGGACAGCAAACTCTTCCATCCTCTCAGCATATGCTTGGGGCAGCGATGTGTAAGGGACGTGCCAGGAGCATCATCAGCATGACAGCAACTGGGAAGCAAACTGCTAATCCAAAAGGGACCCTGGGGGTCTTGCAGGTGCAGACACAGTAGGATATGAGAATGGCAATTCCCCTTGTTTTCCAAACCTGACTGAGCCGTCCAAAGCATGGCAAGGTGAGCGTGAGCCCCTTTCTCATCACAGATGGTTTTCAGGCTCTCCTGATGGCAAACAGCTACAGTGCAGGTGCTGGCTCCAGCCTCCTAAAATAAAGCCATTTTCAGCTTGTAGTAACCTAGTTTCTTGCAGTGGATGTTCCCTCACCTCAAAACCCAACCAGCCACTTTCCAACGAAGCTAACGTAGCTGTATTTCCCCAGGTCTGTGCATAGAGGCTTGATTCAACTTTTGGAAAGTAGATATCTTGTACCAGGGCAGCCAAGATGGCCACAGGGATTGGCACGTACGAGACAGGACCTGAGTGTCGAGCAGGTTTTGTTTGCTCCATGTTTTCCTGGAACAGCTCGCTGTTTCGCAAGCTGATGACAAGACTGGCTGCTGCATGGGGCAGTGGGTCACCTCCTGGCAGAGCTTCACAGGAGGTGAAGCTCCCAGGGGAGAGCAGGGCAGAGGAGGAGAGCGCTCTGCAGAAATCCCATTTTTCCCTCCCAGTTTGCCAGCGGGACACTGGGCTCAGCTGGCCTCTCTCACAAGGACAATCCACTCCAGCCTCCAGCCTGTGGCCAGGCTGTGAACATGGGGACACCGAGCGGTCCCCATCCCTCATCCAGCCACCCTGGGGGCAGAAAACCCACCTGTGGAGGGGCCAAGAGTGCAGGGATCCTTCTCCTGACGGCGTGCCTTTGGGGTGAGTGGCGTTTGCCTTCACTGCTGACTGCAGGGAGCCCATCTGCCACACCGGCTCCTTCAGCCGGTTCAGCCAACACTTTGTGGGGAACAGCAGAGGCTGGTTTGGGGTCCTGGGGATCGCTCCGGGGTCTTGGGCAATGGGCAGTGGCTTATGATGGCTTTGGAGGTGGGTGAAAAGTTTTTTTATGCTGTCAGGAGCTCGTCTATCTCCCCTGCACTCCAAGAGCCACGCACAGCAGGTCTACTTCTGCACAGATGGTTTTATACCATAATCAAAGGCTTGTGCCCTATAATTAAAGGCTTGAGAGCGTTAGGAGAGCGGAGGGAAGCTTGTCTGGTGCTGAAGTTGTCTCACAGCTGGTCACAGCTTCCTCCCCTGCTTTAATCTTGGCTTATCCCAGACCGTGCATGGCAAAGTCATGGCATTGCAGCATGGAGGGGGCTTGGTCAAACCCAACAGCACTCTGCCTTTAGAGGAGAAGGTCTCCACACGACAGAGAGGTGAGCAGGTAGGGACCCACATTGCCAGGACAAGGCTGGGTGGCTCATGGCTGTGCAGCACAAGGAACCCATATTTGTGGGGCTAATGGGGCAGACAGGCAAGATGCTGGCAAGAGACGTGACCCTTGTGCTCAGGCAGAGCTGTAAGGAAGCTGAAGACCTTACAGGTCCCTCACCCACAGCCATGGTTTGCTCTCAGACGTTGGTGCAGGGATGGGGAAGGGCTCTGCTCCAGGTGCAGTATCATGCTGATGGTTAAATGGCAGCTTTGCTTTGGGAATGGTTAAGGAAGGGCTTTGGTCTTCGTCCAAGCTGCCCCAGCTCAGAGCATGAGCTGGTTATTTGAGCTTGGACAACCTTCTTAGTGATGTTTCACGTTTACAAAAGGCACAAGCAGAAACGTTCTTCTGATCAGGATTGGAGCGAACAAAATTAGGAACATGCTTTCTCTGCTGGTAGGGATTTTGTTTTAATTTCCAGGCTGATTTGTTGCTAAGGGCAGTTTGTACTGCTGCCTTTTGGAACTAAAATTTTGCTTTAACTTGCTTGGGTTTTCTTTCTTTTGTGATCTATCCATGAACAGTATAATCTTCCCACTTTTGGGGGAGAATCCTGGAAATTTCATTACAGTCTTTGCCTCTGGGACAGTCAGTATCTCCTGGCTGGCTGGAGACATCTGGGCTGGGACTTGTCCATGGTCAATGCACACACGATCAGGCAGTGCTTGCAAGGAACGCGCCGAGGAGTGTCTCAGCTCTGCTCAGTCTCAGCTGCTGGGCTGATTCCCTGCTAATACAGGGTCGCCTCATTGCTCCCAGTGAAAATAAGGAAGCAGAGCAAAAAGCCCATGGGAAAGCAGGGAAAGGATGAAACAGAAGAGCCAGCCATCGTCAGGACTGTGCCCTTTGCGAGAGGACCCAGTGCCTGGAATGCATCTGGTTCAGCTTCCTTGTAAAAGTGAATTTTCAGGGGTGGCTTTGCAAAGACGCTTTATTGCAAAGACTTGTTATTGAAAGACACTTTCCTGCTGCCTGCTGTGCAGCCCGACTGAAAGAGCCGAGCTGCGCGCTCCTGCATCCAGCGTGCCACGGCTGCCCAGGTGCTGTTTGTATTTGAATGACTCAGGGATTTGATTTTTAACCTGTTTCGTACTCTTTCTGCCCCCTGTGACTTCCCAAGTGCTGCGTCTGGCCCCTTGCCTGCTGACGGTCAGACCCACACACAGATCAGTGCCTGAGCACTTCGGAAATCATTATCTGTGGTCAAAAAGCTTATTTACACAATGCAATCGTATCCCTCTTGAACATATTTTTTTTTTTTTCCTGCTGACCCAGTTGTGCTCTCCATGTGACTAACGTCCAGTTACAGCTCCTGTCCACACGGTCTCCCTTTGGCTCGTGCTCTTGCCCACGGGACCTGCGGCAATCTCATGCCATGGCTCTTCATACTGCCTGAGTTCAAGCACTTTTCTTCTCGGCCTCACGAGCTTGCCCAAGCAAGCCCCAAGGCATTACCCACTCTTGATGGTGAAGTTCCATCTTTGCTGCTGGTACAAAAATACACACATAAGCTCAAATGCCCATTTTTTTCTGCCTATTACCTGAACAAGAAAGAGGCTCCTGGGATGCAGGATCCCATTTAGACGCAGAGATGGGGCTCAGTTGCCTACAAACAGATGCCCAGGGACATCTGAGATGTCCAGAGACGGTGTGGGATTGTCAACATCCCCTCTGAAATCCTTTTTTCGGGGGCAAGAGCCATCTCAAATGCATGAGTAGCTGAGCCCCATCCACCCCCAGGGTTTCACCTCTTCTCTTGGTTTGTGGTTTATTGGTTTGTGGAGGGGTGTTATTGGTTTGTGGAGGGGTGTAGCGTGTGGGGCTGTGGGTGTGGGGTTTAGTTGGTGGGTGGTGGTTTTGGGTTTGTTGTTCTTGTGGTGGTTGTGGTGGGTTTTTTGTTTTTTGGTTGTTTTTTTTGTGTGTTTTTTTTTTTTGTTTTTTTTTTTTTTTTGTGGTTGGACTCGATGATCTCGGAGGTCCCTTCCAACCACTAAGATTCTGTGATTCTGTGATTCTTTCCCCTCTTGGTTTTGCAGTCACAGCCGCTGAGAGCCCAGGGGAGCTTCTTCGCCTGGTGGGTGGCCCCGACCGCTGTGCTGGGCGGGTGGAGGTGCTCCACAACGGGACATGGGGGACGGTGTGTGACGACGGCTGGGGTTCCCCCGAGGGCCAGGTCGTGTGCCGGCAGCTGGGCTGTGGGAGGGTGATCTCAGTGGCACCAGGAGTTCGGTATGGAGAAGGAACAGGACAGATCTGGTTGGACGAGGTCAACTGCACTGGGGAAGAAAGGGACCTCTCCGAATGCCGAGCCAGACCATGGGGGGAACACAACTGTCACCACGTGGAGGATGCCAGCGTGGAGTGCTCAGGTAGCCTGGGACAGCAGCCCTCTGGCTGTGCACCATCTCCACCCCTCCATCCCTTCCTGCTGTACTGGCGGTGATGCACAACCGTTCTCTCTGACTGTTCTCCTTGGGACACCCACAGACTCCAGCATCAATGCCCTGGGCACCCTCCACCTGTTCAACGGCCCCAACCGCTGCGCCGGGAGGGTGGAGGTGCTCCACAACCACAGGTGGGGGACGGTCTGCGATGACGGCTGGGACCTGGTGGACGCGGAGGTCGTGTGTCGGCAGCTGGGCTGCGGCACGGCTCTGTCGGCCACCGGTGGGGCTCGCTTCGGGAGAGGCCACGATCCCATCTGGTTGGACGAGGTGAACTGCACTGGCACCGAGGACACCCTCTTCCACTGCCGGGCCAGCAAGTGGGGGGACAACAACTGCTTCCACGGGGAGGATGCTGGAGTGATATGTTCAGGTAACTCACCTTGAGACACAAGAGGGGTCAACGTCAGACTTTCAGGGTTTCCTAAGGGATCATGGGATGGCTCCTCCTTTCCCCCAAGGGGTGCTTACCCATGGTGGGCAAGTCACCCTGCAAAGCCTTCGCCCATCTCCCACTGCCCTGGATCCAGTGCTGGATCCACAGGCTGCCCAGAGAGGTTGTGGAGTTTCCTTCTCTGGAGATATTCAAAATGCACCTGGAGGACATCCTGTGCAACCTGCTCTGGGTGACCTTGCTGTGGCTGTGGGTTTGGACTGGATGATCTCCGGAGGTCCTTTCCAACCTCAACCATTCTGTGACTCTAAGCTGCAGGAACAGCAGTTTTTCTTGTCTGCAGTCTCGTGCATGAGTTACAGAGAACCTACCTCAAAGCCTGGTTTGCTTCGGGGGCAAAGTTTTTTGGGGGTATAACTCACCCTCCCCAGTTCCTGCCCACACAAACAGCTCAGGTCTGTTTTGCCCATCACCTGGACTTCAGGGTTTTTGGTGAAGGTTTTGATGCATTATGTAGCTCAGCTCTTTTACCTGGGCTGTGCAGCAGGGAGCAAGGAAGTGCCTTTGCATTAAAGGGACTTTGCAAGAATGCACCTTTCTTTGCAAAGACACCCCTCAAAACTCACTTTTAGGAGGATGAGGTCTGAGTGCATTGCGAGCACTCGGTCCTCCAGCCTGGGCGCTTCCCACGCGTGGAGGACGCATCAGAGGCAGCTGTATTTCTCCTGGTGGACTTACCCTTGCGTGTCGTTGGCAGCTTCGGGGATGTCCGTGGCCGCTGAGCTCCGCCTGGCCAACGGTTCGACGCACTGCGAAGGCAGGGTGGAGGTGACCCACAACGGGACCTGGGCAGCCCTGTGTGACGAGGGATGGAGTCTGGCCGAGGCTCGAGTGGTGTGCAGGCAGCTGGGCTGCGGGAGAGCGCTGTCAGCGCCCGTCGGGTCGCGTTTTGGGCAAGGGCCCGGGCAAACGTGGCCCAACAGCGTGAGCTGCGTGGGCACGGAGACCACCTTCTCCGCATGCAAGGCAAAGCCCCGGGGCAGCACCGCTTGTCACCATGGGAGAGAAGCTGGCGTGGTGTGTGCAGGTAACCCTCTTGGGAGTGACACGGCACAAGAAGTGGTGGGTCTTGGCCCAGCACCTTGAGTTTTCGCCTCCACAAGCAGCCCCAGACAACGTGCCCTCTTCATGGGTGTTTTCATCACAGGATGTCTGGGGGGGCTGGAGAAATTTTGGGCTCCTCTTGGAGGGGACAGTGCTGATGCCAGTGGGTGGGATGCTGCTGTGGTGCACCTTGCAGCCCCTCGCCCTTTAGCCAGCTGACACTGGGCATCAGCCAGCTCCTTTCTGAGGTGATCAGACGAGCCTGCAGCGCTCGGTGCGACCTGAGAAGGTTCCAGGGGCCGTTTCCCTTACCCAGGGGTTGCCACGTGCTGGCCCTTCCCTTTATTGCCCTTTTTTAGGTAACTCTGAGGGCGACCAGGTCCGGCTGGTGAACTCTGGCAGCCGCTGCGCGGGCAGGGTGGAGGTCTTCCATAACAAGCAGTGGGGAACCGTGTGCGATGACAACTGGGACCTGCTGGATGCCGAGGTCGTCTGCCGGCAGCTGGACTGTGGGCGAGCGCTGTCGGCCCCCGGCGCGGGTCAGTTCGGGCGCGGGGTCGGCATCATCTGGATGGACGAGACGAACTGCACGGGGACGGAGAGCGCGCTGTCTGCCTGCCGGGCCCGGCCGTGGGGCATCAATAACTGCTACCACGGGGAAGACGCCGGCGTGGTTTGCTCAGGTTACCAAGGGCTTCTTTGGTATCACAAGGTGGTGGGAGAGGGAGGGTGTGTCATGATGGCAGGTCTGCACCCCCAGGTAAGACTAGGGGTCACCATCCTGCACCCTCCCCGAACCTGATGGTTCCATCAGAGGATAGTGCTCCTGGGTGGAAGCTTTGGGTGGTGGTGGGGAGCCCTCCTGTTTTTCCCTCCTCTGCTTTTTGACAACTTGAAGAGGGCCCAGGAGTTGAACTGCAATATCATAAGGATGGAGGGAAACTGTCCCGCCATCTGAAGGCATTGATGAATCTCTCGGATGTTGGCAGACTCCATCATCCCTGAGCCAGCTCAGCTCCGCCTGGCAAATGGCTCGCACCGCTGCGCTGGCAGAGTGGAGGTGTTTCACCAGGAGGAGTGGGGAGCCGTCTGCGACCGTGGCTGGGATAAGAAGGACGCTGAGGTCGTGTGCCAGCAGCTGGGCTGTGGGACGGCGCTGCCAGCATCGGAGGGGGTGGACTTCGGCACCGGACCCCTGCGTGTCTTGCTGGACAACGTGAACTGCCAGGGGACAGAGTCGACCCTTACAAAATGCCAGGCGAGCCCATGGGGAGAGAGCAGCTGCAGCCATGGGAAGCACGCCAGCGTGGTGTGCTCAGGTGGGTTTCACTCCAGCCCCAGCAGTGGGTCAGGACGCACCCGTGGGTCCAGAGAAGGGCAACGAAGCTGGTGAGGGGTCTGGAGCACAAGTCTTACGAGGAGAGGCTGAGGGAACTGGGGTTGTTCAGTCTGGGGAAGAGGAGACTGAGGGGAGACCTTATCGCTCTGTACAAGTACCTGAAAGGAGGGTGTAGAGAGATGGGGGTCGGTCTCTTCTCCCAAGTTACAGACGATAGGACAAGGGGCAATGGCTTCAAGTTGCACCAGGGGAAGTTCAGGTTGGATATTAGGAAACATTTCTTTACTGCAAGGGTTATCCAGCATTGGAATGGGCTGCCCAGGGAGGTGGTGGAGTCACCATCCCTGGAGGTATTTAAGAAACGTGTAGACGTGGCTCTTCAGGGCATGCTCTGGTGCCCAAGATTACTGGTTTGTGGTGGGGTGCTGTGTGGGTGGGTGGATGGTTTTTGGTTTGGTGGTTGTTGTTGTGTGTTTAGGTGGTGGGTGGTGGTTTGTGTTTTTTTGTTTTTTTGTTTTGTTTTTTTTTTGTGGTTGGACTCGATGATCTCTGACGTCCCTTCCAACCACCACAATTCTGTGATTCTGTGATTCTGTAATTCCCATTGATAAAAGAGGATAGGAAAAAAATATCAGAAGTCTGCTGCAATGGTTACTGAATATTTGATATCACTGAGCTGTACAATGGTAACTCTACAGTTCTTTGTGAGATAAATATTAGACAGACACGGTGAAGAGCTGAGGAATAGGATAGAGACAGGTGTCAAAGACCACCTTATTCCACCAAGGATTTTTTTTTTTTTTTTTTTTTTTTTTTTTTTTTTTGTGGTTGGACTCGATGATCTCCGAGGTCCCTTCCAACCACTACGATTCTGTGATTCTGTGATAATTTCCCCCATCCACCTTGGGAGGAAGGTACCAGCTTCACCCCTCTTGACGCTGGGTCGAGTACCCCCAAGCTCTTTGAGAAGTGTCTCCACAGAGTGGGGAGGAGGTGCTGTGCGTTCAGAGGCAATGGGACCATGCAGCCCTGGTGATGTGCCCAAACGCAGGCTCCTTCCTCTTCCCATAGAGGGGCTCTGAGCATCTCCCTGCCTGTTTGCAGGCTCAGCTGTTTCCAGCTTTGCCCCAGTCCGGCTGGTGGACGGCCCAGGACACTGTGCTGGGAGGGTTGAGGTGTTTCACAAGGAGAAATGGGGGACGGTGTGCGATGACAGCTGGGACTTTGCGGATGCCAAAGTGGTGTGCCGGCAACTGGGCTGCGGGGTGGTGGTATTGGCTCCGCGGCGGGCTCACTTCGGCGAGGGACAGGGACCCATCTGGCTGGATGACGTGCGCTGCACGGGGACGGAGGCTGCCCTCTCTGAATGCAGAGCCAAGAGCTGGGGCGTCCACGGCTGTGAGCACGGAGAAGATGCCAGCGTGGTGTGCTCAGGTAACCACCGTCTGTCGTGGCACTGGGAGCGCTGGGGCAAACCTTCCCGATGGTCCTTGACTCTGCAAAGGCCTTGCAATGAAGGAACAGTTTGCAGCCAGCCTGGAGAGCCTTTTGCTTTGAAACCAGCCCCTCATGGTCCATCCCGGTGGAAGAGGGACAGGCAGCACCTGTACACAGACATTAAAGTCTGAGAAATGCAAATGCCTTGCCCATTTGCACTGCTGTCACTACAAATATGGTCTCTGGCTTTTGACTGGTGGTGTTTATCACAAATCCTGGCACTTAGCATGAGCCAGAGACCATTCCCATCAGGCAAACTGTGACAGGGCCACCTAGTTCTTCACAGAGGGGCAGACTCCTTTATGAATGGGTCTTCTCCTATTATAGTCAGGGAGGACTCTCCGACAGCTTTGGTGGATCCATGGTAGATGTACCCTATGATGCTCAGGGCTTCATGGGCCCATAAAAACCCATCTTTCATCCCTCTGCCTCCTCTCCAGCTCTGACTTTCTGCCAGAGGAACCCCCAGAACCCATTTTAGTGGCTCTTAAGAAGCTGGGGCCACTGGGTTGCTTGAAATCAAATGGACTTGGCTTAATATCCATTTGTCAGTGACCAAGACGGCCAGCATTGAATTCAGTCATCCCAGTGTGGGAAGGTAGCATCTCACCCTAGCTGGGCTAAGAGATCCTACAGGAATACCTGTGCCCTTCAGGAGCAGCAGCTGGAGGACAGATGAGGTATCCCAGGAGTCCCAAATAGCACACAGATGCCCACAGATGCCCACATCTTGGCAAATGGACCCTGCCCCGCTTTAGGAGGGCAAACTATATAAGGTCCATTGACTACAGTCTGACCAAGCCCACGCTAATCAAGCCTTGAGCACCATTTGGGCCAGTTCACATCACACCTCAAAGGTCACCTCTGTCATCACAAGAGCATCCTTGAACCCCCAGGGCTGCTCAGCCTCTGGTATAAACCCATTGTTGGGAGCTGGAGGTTTCCTGGGGCAGAAGGTATCTCCTTAACGTGTGTACGCTCTCTGGTGTTGTAGGATCGGGCATTTCTGACCTTGGAAGCCTCCGCCTGGTGAACGGCTCAGACTCGTGCTCCGGGAGAGTGGAAGTGTTTCACGATCAGCGCTGGGGGGGCATCTGCACCGATGGCTGGGACCTGGCTGAAGCCCAGGTGGTGTGTCGGCAGCTGGGCTGTGGGGCAGCACACTCGGCTGCGGGGTCTTCCCGGTTTGGGACAGGAGATGGCCTGATCTGGGTGGATGCTGTGGAGTGCACCGGGACAGAGGGGGCCCTCTTCGAATGCAAGGTCAAGTTCTGGGGCGCCGAGAGCTGCAAGTCGAAGGGGCACGCAGGCGTCTTGTGCTCTGCGGCCGCAGGTCAGTGGCGGTGAGTCAGGGACCAGTCCTCCCCTGGGGGAGGCCGTGCAGTCTGACCAAATTTGCCCACCCACCCCCTCCTTTGTCCTGGCTCAACCACGCCTTGTTTCTGTGGTCCCACCAGGGAGCACAAGGTGTTTTCCATTCCAAGGTCTACCAGCCCCGTGGCTCCCCTGAGGCAGAGTGCTTGGAATTCCCACAGATCCCAAGGGAATACCCACAAATCCCAAGCCTGCAAAGCGTAGGCTTTCCCTCACGCCCAAAGACCCCTGGCAGACCACCAGGGCTGAGGCTGCCCCTGTGAGGTTTTTTGATCCGTGCTGTCACACAGCTTCTAGTCCTCAAGCAGGCCTTTCTCCTCACCAAGCTCAGGTGCACGATGCACTTGGTGCCTCCCTGCCTGCTTCTCCCCATGAGGATACTCCCATCATGGGAGCACCTCAGTAAATTGGCCAGGTTGACAATCTACAGGCATGGTCCTAAGCAGGCTTGTCCCAAAAGGTGTTCATGCATGCACACCCAGGGTGCAGCAGTAGCAGAGGTGCTATGCGCTGGTGGACACCTTGCAAGACGTCTTGCAAGGGGAGGTCCACCACGTTGCCAGCCACTGGACAGGCAGGCATTTATTGTCCTCCCATTCTGTTTTTAGAGCTGGACCTAGGGAGCTCAGAAGTCCTGCGGCTGGTGAACAGCCCGCACCGCTGCGCCGGGAGGGTGGAGGTCTTTCACAACCAGCAGTGGGGGACCATCTGCGATGACGGCTGGGACCTGAAGGACGCGGCCGTGGTGTGCCGGCAGCTGGGCTGCGGGACGGCCATGTCAGCCCCAGGTTCATCCGGTTTTGGGCAAGGATCTGGCCCCATCTGGCTAGATGGGGTGAATTGCCTTGGGACAGAAGCCACACTTGCTGAATGCTCGTTCAAGCCTTGGGGACACCATGCATGTAACCACATAGAAGACGCCAGCGTTGTGTGCTCAGGTAATCACCACCACTTGTTTTCACTGTAAGAGAGACCAAGCCCCATCCTTCCACAGGCTGGGAACAGTTTGGGAACAAGCTGCCCAGAAATTGCCCAGATTGGTAGAAACCTCGTTGAAATGGTTTAGACGGTTGGACTCGATGATCCCAAGGGTCTCTTCCAACCTGAATGATTCTATGATTCTATGAAATACAGTGTTCAGAGACAAGAAGAAATATGATAAGCTGGGAAAAAAGCAACATGGCTTAAGACATGCCTCAGTGTCTGATACCATTGGAGGTGTTCAAGAGGTTTTCATGGGTTGAAGCACCTGCGCCCCTGGGGAGCGGTAGCTGGAGGGTGCATGGGGGCTGCTAAAGTGGCAGCAGATGTGACTGCTCCTGGCCCCAGCTCAAGAGCAGGTAGAGCATCTCTGTGAAATGCCATAACGTGGAGATAAATGCAGAAAGATGCACAGGAACCAGCTGCTCTCATGTGACACACCATTTCTGAGCTATCTACTGCCAGTCTAGCCTTGTCCCTAGAAGGTCAACCTCCACGGTTGCTAGAAGCAGCAGCTAGAAGCAGTCAGGACAGGGACAGTTGGGAATAGATCCTTTGCCATTTCCTCTAGGGTGAGAAGAGGGTTGGTGCCAGGTGAACCTGGGTGATGCAGCTTCCAAACAAGGGGGAAGGAAAGTGGGGAGAACAACTGGGAAGGACCCTTGTGATACCTTCTTCCCAGCACAGTGTCCCTTAGGTGGAGACACGTGCACTTTCTCCTGTCCTGGGCTCTGAGCCAGGGTGCAACCACCTTCAGGGTGCAGCTGGTAGAAGGGACCGGCTGCTTCTGCAGCTCCTTCCACCCTGTGAAAACCCCTTTGATCACTTTGCTGCAAGTCCCTGCTAACGGGCAAGGGACGTGCAAGCTCGCTGCAGCAGCACCATCCAGAACCACCGCGGGGATGTCCTGTCTTCTCCAACCCAGCAGGTGTTAAGAGGCACAAGCGTTTCCCTAATTAATGCCCGTTTTTGGGGTATTTTTCAGGCTCCGGGATTGGCAGTAGCCCCAGGCTTCGCCTGGCGGGCGGTTTGAGCGCGTGTGCCGGCAGAGTCGAGGTGTTTTACAACAACGAGTGGGGGACGGTCTGCGATGACGGGTGGGACCTGAAGGACGCAGCGGTGGTCTGCAGGCAGCTGGGCTGCGGGGTGGCCCTCTCGGCCCCCGGCTCGGCTCGGTTCGGGTGGGGAGCCGGCTCCATCTGGCTGGATGATGTGAGCTGCACAGGGGAGGAAACCGACTTCTTCGAGTGCCAAGCCAAGACGTGGGGCACCCACAACTGCCACCACGGGGAGGATGCCGGTGTGGTGTGTGCAGGTGAGGGCCGGGCTGATGCTGGTGAGAGGCAGAGCTCCTGACGGTCCCCAGGGGCAGGCAGGTGGCCCCCTTTGAAGGAGATACTCCGTGCTGGGCTGGTGTAGGGACTTCTTGCAGCTCTCACTTGTGTGTATCTCTGGGACCTGTACTCGGCACTGGTGAGGCCTCACCTTGAGTACTGTGTCCAGTTTTGGGCCCCCTACCATAAAAAAGACATTGAGGTGCTGGAGTGGGTCCAGAGAAGGGCGACAAAGCTGGTGAGGGGTCTGGAGAATAAGTCTTATGAGGAGAGGCTGAGGGAGCTGGGGGTGTTCAGCCTGGAGAAGAGGAGGCTGAGGGGAGACCTTATTGCTCTCTACAACTCCCTGAAAGGAGGGTGTAGAGAGATGGGGGTCGGTCTCTTCTCTCAAGTCACAGGCGACAGGACGAGAGGAAATGGCCTCAAGTTACACCAGGGGAGGTTCAGGCTGGATATTAGGAAAAATTTTTTCACTGAAAGGGTTCTCAGGCATTGGAATGGGCTGCCCAGGGAGGGGGTTGAGGCACCATCCCTGGAGGTGTTCAAAAGAAGGGTTGATGTGGTGCTGGGAGGTCTGGTTTAGTGATGATGCTCCTTGTCTGTTGTGTGGGTGTCTATTTTTGTCAGTGAGGTTGACGGTTGGAAAAGATGATCTTTAAGGTCCCTTCCAACCTAGAAGATTCTGTGATTCTGTGACCTTCACCTCACGGCCAAGAGTGAGGTCCTGCACCTAGGTCAAGGCAACCCCCACTATCAGTACAGACTGGGGGATGAAGGGACGGAGAGCAGCCCTGAGGAGAAGGACTTTTGGTGTTGGTGGATGAAAAGCTGTACAGGAGCCAGCAATGTGTGCTCACAGCCCAGAAAGCCAACTGCATCCTGGGCTGCATCAAAAGCCACATGGCCAGCAGGGCGAGGGAGGGGATTCTGTCCCCTCTGCTCTGCTCTTGTGAAACCAACCCTGGAGTACTCGGTCCAGCTTTGGGGTCCTCAGTGCAAGAAAGACATGGACCTGTTGGAGCTGGTCCAGAGGAGGCCATGAAATGGCCAGAGAGCTGGAGCCTCTCTGCTATGGAGAAAGGCTGAGAGACTTGGGGCTGTTCAGCCTGCAGAAGAGAAGGCTCCGGGGCGACCTTATAGCAGCCTTTCAATATCTCAAGGGGGCTTAGAAGAAAGATGGGGCCAGACTTTTTACCATGGCCTGTAGTGATAGGACAAGGGAAGAGAAGGTCTTAAACTGAAAGAGTGTAAATTTAGATTGAACATAAAGAAGAAATTCTTTCCTGTGAGGGTGGTGAGACCCTGGCCCAGGTTGCCCAGAGAAGCTGTGGCATCATCGGAGGTGTTCAAAGTCAGGTTGAATGGGGCTTTGAGCAACCTGGTCTAGTAGAAGATGTCCCTGCCCATGGAACTGGACTAGATGGTCATTAAAGGTCCCTTCCAACCCAGACAGGAAACATGGGGTTTGTCTTCCCTGGTGAAACAGCAGCACCCGGCCATGTCTGTGGCTTTTGTCCTCAGTGCTGTCAATGCCCCAGAGCGGGCCCTGCCCTGCTCCTCCCCGGAGGTGTGTGGGGTGCTGCAGTGGGGCGCTGGTCCAGGGATGCAGGTGAGGGGGGTTGGTCCAGGGATGTGGGGGTGCCCTGCAACCACACACCCACCTATTTCCCTCTCCACCATAGCAGGCAACTCCAGCTCAGCCAACCTGCGGCTGGTGAACGGGCCAGGCCGCTGTGCCGGGAGGGTGGAGGTCCTCCACGACGCGCAGTGGGGGACGGTCTGCGACGACGGCTGGGACCTGAACGATGCAGAGGTGGTCTGCCGGCAGCTGGGCTGTGGCAGGGTCACGGCAGCCCCTGGCCGGGCTCGCTTCGGGCAGGGGACGGGACGCATCTGGCTGGATGATGTGGGCTGTTCCGGGAGCGAGGACACCCTTGCCCAGTGCCGAGCTCGTCCCTGGGGACAGAGTAACTGCAACCATGGAGAAGATGCCAGCGTCATATGCTCAGGTACGTACCACTCCTGCAAGACAAGATGTCCCAGGAGGGCTTGGGGGGGTCCATTCTGCACTTCACTACCTTCAAGATGATGGTCAAGCCCTTTCAGAGATTAGGAATCCTTTCAGCCCAGCACTGGGCATTGCCACCAGTGTGTCCCCACCCCATCGTGACTGGGACGTGGCTGGGACTCTTTAGTCTGGAGAAGAGAAGGCTGAGGGGAGACCTTATCAACGCCTACAAGTATCTCAAGGGAGGGTTGAAGGAGGAGGGAGCCAGACTCTTTTCAGTGGTTCCCAGTGAGAGGACGAGGGGCAACGGGCACAAGTTGGACCAGAAGAGGTTCCACTCAAATATGAGGAGAAACTTCTTCACGGTGAGGGTGACAGAGCCCTGGCACAGGCTGCCCAGGGAGGTTGTGGAGTCCCCTTCTTTGGAGATTTTCAAGACCCGCCTGGATGCAGTCCTCAGTAACATGCTCTAGCTTTGGGCAATCCTGCTTCAGCAGGGGAGTTGGACTAGATGATCTCTATGGTCCCTTCCAACTCTAGAAATTCAGTGAAATTCAGTGATGTTTCTGTGATGCTTCCAGACACCAATGCAACCAACACGTCGACTGTGCGGCTCGTGGATGGCCCGCATCGCTGCGCCGGGAGGGTGGAGGTCTTCCACAACCAGCAATGGGGGACGGTCTGCGATGATGGCTGGGACCTGAGGGATGCGGCGGTGGTGTGCCGGCAGCTGGGCTGTGGTGAGGCCGTCGCGGCCCCGGCAGGGGCTTCCTTCGGGAGAGGGCGAGATCCAATCTGGCTGGACAGGGTCGCCTGCATCGGGGGGGAGAACGCGCTCGGCGAGTGTCGGACCAGGCCCTGGGGAATCAACAGCTGCAGCCACGAAGAGGACGCTGGTGTGGTCTGCTCAGGTGATGCTCATTCCTGCAGGCTCCTAGACACATAGTTTGGAGCTTTCCCCGCCCCCAAAACAAGCTTTCTCCTCTCCAGCCTCATCTCAGGAGCACTGGCTGCAGAAAGGAGATTTGCAGGGCTCATCCCCTTGGCAGATGGCACTGGTCGCCCATCCACTCACCCCAGTAGCTGCCTGATCCACCTGCCCTTTGTGCAGCTGAACAGAAAAGGGGTCAAAGAGAACACTGGCGCCCAGTTTGGGGTGCGGGCTGCACCCAGACTCTGCTGGGTCCCAGTGAGAGTCAAGAAGGGGGATTTATTTCTCCCCTTCTCCGTCAGGGACTGAGTCTGGAGGCCTGACGTAGGTGCCTTGTGGTGCTTGGGAAGCCCAAGGACCATGCCTGCCTGCACGTCTCTGCAGGCAGGGCTCAGGCCAGGATCTCTCCTCCTGACCCACTGTGGCTGGGCATCTGCCCTAGGTCTGCAACCTAGTCTGGTACTCAATGGCTCAAAGTCCAGATGGAAACCAGTCACAAGTGGTGTTCCTCAAGGGTCCGTGCTGGGGCCGGTGCTGTTTAACATTTTTATCAATGATATAGACAGGGAGATTAAAGGCACCATCAGCAAGTTTGCGGATGATACCAAGCTGTGTGGTGTTGTGGATACACCAGAGGGATGGGATGTCATCCAAAAGGACCTGGACAGGCTGGAGAGGTGGGCCCAGGTGAACCTCATGAGGTTCAACAAGAGCAAATGCAAGATTCTGCACCTGGGCCGGAACAATCCTCGCCACCAATACAAACTAGGGGGTGAGGTATTGGAAAGCAGCCCTGAGGAAAGGGACTTGGGGGTGCTGGTGGAGGAGAAGCTGGACATGAGCAGGCAGTGTGCAGCTGCAGCCCAGAAGGTCAATCCCATCCTGGGCTGCATCAAAAGAAGCGTTGCCAGCAGGTCCAGAGAGGGGATTCTGCCACTTTACTCTGCTCTGGTGAGACCTCACCTGGAGTATTGTGTGCAGGGCTGGAGCCCTCAATACAAGAAGGACATGGACCTGATGGAGAGGGTCCAGAGGAGGGCCACAAGGATGATCAGGGGGATGGAGCACCTCTGCTCCGAGGACAGGCTGAGGGAGCTGGGGTTGTTCAGCCTGGAGAAGAGGAGGCTCCGGGGAGACCTAATAGCAGCCTTCCAGTACCTGAAGGG